TTATAGGTCAAAGCCCCAACTCCCCATGGGATTATATTTAGAAACGGGGCCTGAATGGAGGTAATAAAGGTTAACGGATGTGGTAAGAATGGGTCTCTAACTGAATAGGTACCCTTATTTAAAAAAAAAAAAAAGGGAAGGGAAACTGGGTGTTGTAGTACATGCTTATAACCTAGCTACTTGGGAGGTCACAAGTCTGGGCAACTTAAGGAGACCTCCATCTCAAAAAAAAAAAAAAAAAAAAGGAATACACATCAGACATTTCTGCCTCTTTCTCCCTCTCTCCTGCTCTCCCTCCCTCTTTCCCTCTGTGTGAATACATTCAGCCAGCACCTTGAATTTGAGCTTCTAGCCTCAATACCTAAGAGAAAAAATTGTTTTTTAAAGCTTCCTAGTCAATGATATTTTGTTATGGCCACTCAAGCGGATTAATACAGGTTTAAAAAAATATTTATTTCTTAGTTGTAGTTTGACACAATATCTTTATTTTATTTATTTATTTTTATGTGGTGCTGAGGATCAAACCTAGGGCCTTGTACGTGCTAGGCAAGTGCTCTACTGCTGGGCCACAACCCCAGCCTCTAATACAGCTTTTAAAATGTGTCATAGTATCTCCTTAGATTTATTTTGGCTCTGATGGTTTCTGAGGCATCCCTTATGTTTGTTGATCTTGACAGTTTTGAGGAGAACTAGTCAGGTGCTTTACTGGGATTCACTGATGTTTTTCTTACAATTAGACTGAGGTTCTAGACTGTGGAATCAACCCAGATGCCCTTCAATAGATGAATGGATAAAAAAAATGTGGCATTTATACACCATGGAGTATTACGCAGCACTAAAAAATGACAAAATCATGGAATTTGCAGGGAAATGGATAGCACTAGAGCAGATTATGCTTAGTGAAGCTAGCCAATCCCTAAAAAACAAATACCAAATGTCTTCTTTGATATAATAAGAGCAACTAAGAACAGAGCAGGGAGGAAGAGCAGGAAGAAAAGATTAACATTAAACAGAGACATGAGGTGGGAGGGAAAGGGAGAAAAAAGGGAAATTGCATGGAAATGGAGGGAGACCCTCATTGTTATACAAAATTACATATAAGAGGTTGTGAGGGGAATGGGATAATAAACAAGGAGGGAAATGAATTACAGTAGATGGGGTAGAGAGAGAAGATAGGAGGGGAGGGGAGGGGGGATAGTAGAGGATAGGAAAGGTAGCAGATTACAACAGTCACTAATATGGCAGTATGTAAAAATGTGGATGTGTAACCGATGTGATTCTGCAATCTGTATTTGGGGTAAAAATGGGAGTTCATAACCCACTTGATTCTAATATATGAAATATGATATGTCAAGAGATTTGTAATGTTGTGAAAAACCAATAAAAAGAAAACAATTAGACTGAGGTTATGAAGTTTGGGGAGAAGGAACACAAAGTTATAGTGTCATTTTTATATCAAGAGTTGCATGCTTTTCTAGGTGGTGTAATCTCAGCTCCTTGGGAAGCTGAGGTAGGAGGATTGCAAGTTCAAGGCCAGCCTGGGCAATGTAGCAAGGCCATGTACCCCCGACTCCAAAGAGTACATGCTATCAGCATGACCTGTCACTATTGATGTTAACCTTGATCACCTGGCTAGGGAAGTCTATATCAAGTTTCTCCACTGCAGAGTTATTCTCTTTCCCCCTTTCCATATTTTTCTCTTGAACATAAGGCATGAGGGGTCCTGTTCCACCTTCTAAGTTCATAATATTTATGTAAATTATCTGGGATTATTTTGCATGGAAGATTCATCGTTTCAACCCCATTTGTTTATTTATTTAGTTATTTAAATAATATATATGTGGATATTTATTTTATACTTGGATTTTAATTCAAAAAAGTTATTTTTTGCTCAAAATATTTTTTCTAGCATTGGTCATTGGGAGGTCTTTGAACTGGCTCCTGTGCCTTTTTGACATACCTTTATGATGGAGGAGTTTGGGGATTTGGGGTGGTGGTGTTTTGTTTTTTAGGTATTTTGTTTGCTTTTTAGCACAACCTTACTTTCTATTAGTATAAGATGTTCCAGGCTCATTTTGTGTCTCTTTCCAATTCCTAGAATCAGCCTTTTTTCCAAAGAGTCTGGTTCCTTTTCATTAGAGAAATAGTAGTAGAAACTAGTGGGGTTGGGGTTATATAGCTCAGTGGTACAGTGCTCACCTTGCGTGTGCAGGGCCCTGGGTTCGATCCTCAGCACCACATAAAAAATAAATAAATAAAATAAAGATATCGTGTCCAACTACAACTAAAAAATAAATATTAAAAAAAGAAGACACCAATGGATTCTGGGTGTGCTTGTAGTTACTGGAGTAAGGTTGCTTTTAGACTCATTCAGCTGATCAAATGAGGAGGTATATGAATATATACCAACCCAAGTATACACATCTACATCTACAGATATTTCTATGGGAAAGACCTCTATTTATATTAAACTAAATATAAGCTCATTTGATGGCTTCAATTCTAATCAGTTACTACATGCCTTCTCCCTCACTTATCTGTAATCTCCCACTGGAACAATGAGAAAACTAGCTTCAACCACCTACTGTCTATCAATTATTCAATTCCTGTTTACTAAAGTGGTGGTTTCAGAATTGAAAACATTTTTTTAAATATTTATTTTTAGTTGTAGCTGGATACAATATCTTTAATTAATTACCCAGGGCCTCACCCTTGGTAGGGGAGCACTCTACTGCTGAGCCACAACCCCAGCCCCAGAACTGAAAACATTTTTGTTAACTACAGCATAGCTTATCATAGTTCCTACTGCCTTTAGTCTTGCAGACTTTATTCATATGCAGAGTTACTTAGGTCAGCACCTTTTTCCAAATACTTTTTTTTTTTTTTTTTTTTTGGTGGTGCAGGGGATTGAACCCATGGCCTTGTGTATGCAAGGCAAGTACTCTACCAACTGAGCTATATCCCTAGCCCTCCAAATGCTTTTTAATTCTATGACTATCCCATGTGCATTTAAGCTGCTTTGTCTTTATTTGTGCTAATCCCTTTACCTGAAATGCCCTGGCTTTCACTATTATCTCTTGGAATATTCCCACTCATTCTTCTACATCCAGCACTAGTATTACCTCCACCATGAAGCTTCTCTAAACCATTATGAATAGACTGGGTCATTCATTCTTCTGTGCTCTAATAGAACATGAGTCTTCCTTCTACTATTTATTGCCTCTACCATATATCATCCATAATTCTGTAGAATTCTGTAGTACTCCCTAAAAACTTTCAACTCATCTGTTCTTATGTGGAAATTGTACCCTTTCCAATTTTTTCCCCTCTGTATCCTTATCTGGTAGGGTTGTGTTGCCTGTGGTGTGGCAGTCAGAATTTTACCTGATATAACTTGGTGCAGTTTGCTTTGTTGTTTGTTTTTTCCAAATCATAATGAATTGTATTCTTTAAAAATAAATTTACACAGTGCTATAACCTCTGCTTTCTTGAATTTTATGTTCTTTTGAAATTATAGAAATACATTCATAGGGGCATTTTTATTCACTAATGATGTAGTTCAGATTTTTTATATCTGACATCTACATATGACTTGAATTTTTTATAAGTCTAATTTTCAACAAGGGCAGCCTAATTGATAAATCAGTTCAAACATGACTGAGTAAATCTTGCATGTGGATATAAGCATCTCCTATCACCTGATGTACCTAAAGACAGGGATTTCTGCAATGTTTAAAAAAGCAAAAAACTTAGTAAGGGCAGAACTCCATTAATCTCATCCTTACTGCACTTATAAAGACTCATCACACAGAAAGAATGAATACAAAGCTCACCAATTTGGTTAATGTCTCCAAAAGTTACTGTCACATAGACATATGAAATGCCAGTAGGATGAGTTAAAACTGATGTCATTCTGGTCCCACATAATGTGTTTGGAGGCAAGTTTCAGAGTAATTAGAATAATATATACTCTTCAGATACTTTGGTTTGAGATGACTTTGAAATGAGCTTACATGAAATCCCTTAAAGAAAAACTTCCGAGTCCCAGTAGCTTCTTTTTGTGTACACAAGTGCTTGGTGTGGCCACCTTTCAGGGCGGTCCTGGAGAGAAAACACTAAGCATGAGATTCGCATTTTGAAGCTGCAGAGGGACTTGACGTCATAGTGGGATCAAAGTGCTCTGCAAATACTTACTGTAATTATTGTTGTTGTTCTGTTCTTGCTAATAACCTTATTTATACCCTGAAATTATAATCATCCAAAGAAAAATTAAAACAAGATGTGTGAACTGCGTGAGCTGTTTACCTTGCAGATGGTCACCCTCAGAGTTCTCTCAAATTGCCAGGGTTAATTGAAGCTTCCTGTTCATTGCAGCGTAGTTGAGACTTAAGTGTTTCTTACCTGTAGGCTTTCACTCTCCAAAACAGTACAACAATAGCACTTTAATTTGTTCTCATTAATGCTGTCCTCTCAGGTAATGTTTAGTGCAGCTTTATCTAGATGATGTTTGCTCCTTTGAATGAAACCTTTGTACTAGATTTCCAGCTGAGAAGAAAAGCTAAACAGTTACAAAGGTAAAGACATGAGTATCTCACTAATTTATTTATTTAAAGGAAGCTTGGAACCCTGGAAACATTGAAGGGTAGTTAACTTTTAAATAGTGGGCATGCGTTTAGACTACAATCAACCATATTTTCTCTCCATTGGGGTTTCAGTTAGCTGAGACAACTGGGAATAATTCTTAGGCACACTTACAAATAAATAGTTTTTACCCAGAGTCAGCTAAGTGCTCCAAGCATAATCATTGTATATTCTCACACACAGTAGCACTACTTTCTCTAGTTTGTTGGGGTTCCTCTATCCTGTAGCAATCTTGAAATGTAAGAAAAGATCAAGCTTAAAAGGAAAGGGAAATAAGTACTTCTTTGCCTCTATTCCTCAGCTGAGTAAAAACAGCCCACTGAAAAGAACTCTGTTAAAAATGTTAACATTTTTTTTAGGTGATGCAAGAGCCCTTTGCCTGTATCTTGAGACTGGAATCCTGGAAAGAAATATGACTGATGCCTCCCAATGCCATTGCATGCTATTTGATTAAGACTCAAGAAACAGGGATGAAGGAAGAGAAGAAATTTGGACCTCTTTAAATCAGTGGCAACTTCAGTAAAAGCTGGAGAATCAGTGCTTCAGTAAAAGCTGGAGAATCAGTGCTGTGATCCCTTTTGTGTATGCAGTGTATAATAGTAGTAGATAGTGGGTGAAGGTAAGTGAACAATAAAGCTATTCAAAAAAAGAAAAAGTGGGGCTGGGGTTGTGGCTCAGTGGTAGAGTGTTCACCTCCCACATGAGAGACCCTGGGTTTGATCCTCAGCACCATATAAAAATAAATGAACAAAATAAAGATATTGTGTCCATGTATAACTAAAAAAATATTTTAAAAAAAAGAAAGAAAGAAAAAATGGAGCATGGGCTCTCCAGTAAGACTACTCATTTTTTGGGGCTGGGGATGTGGCTCAAGCGGTAGCCCGCTTGCCTGGCATGCGTGCGGCCCGGGTTCGATCCTCAGCACCACATAC